GGAGACATGGAGAGAGACAAGGAGACAAGGAGAGACACAGAGACAATGAGAGATGCAGAGAAGGAGAAGGATGGAGAGAAGGAACCAGCAATGGCAGTGCTGCACTTGTAACCCCCCACCCCTCAGAGTGGGGCCTGGGACTTTTGCAGTTTTTTTTCTTTGCTTGTTTATTTTTGCCTTTTTTCATTTGTCACTTGAGTTGTCCTCTTGAGGACCTAAGGCTAGGGGTTATGGGTGCAGGGTCTTCTGTTCCCAGTCCTGGCGCCCAGGCCTCTAGTCACTGCAGCCTGGGGAGGGAGGTTACTCTCTCTGGACTCAGGTTCCCAGGATGCTGCAGGGAAAGACAGTGGGGTCAGCTGGGGGCATGCACCACACCTCTACTCTGCCCCACATGCATCTGGGCTGTTGTACCCTCTGACGTTCCTGTGGTCTTAGGGTTTGATCCCTGGCCAGGACCCTACCTCCCAGACCCCAGCCAGGTAAGTAGGAGCAATAGGTGGGCGTGGGCGGATCCTGCTTACAGCATTGGCCATCCCCACCCCCAACTCCCTTTAGGGGACATCTAAGTTGCTGGCAGTCCAGAGGCCAGACATTTGTTCTGAAGAACATTCTGGGGAGGATAGTTCTCCTTTAGCCTGCAAGCCTCCAGGGCTGGCTTTCAGCGGCCCCACATGGGCTCCCAGGAGTGGCCGCCATCCAGACCTGCCCACTCCCAAGGGCCTCCTGACGGCCCCCTCCTTCCCCTTCCTCCCGCGGCGCTTGGAACAGTGAGCAAGTGGGGTGGGGGTAGGGATGGGGCGCGGGTGGGGGCTGGGCCTGCAGGCGCGCCCCAACTCCTACGCCTGGCTGTCCTAAGTACTGTGACACCGCCGCCCTCGCCCTCTCGGGGCCCAGCGAGGCCCAGGTGAGATGATTTGATCATCTGCTCGCGGTCCGCAGCGGAAAGCACGAAACTGCCGCTATTAGTGACTAGGCGCGTGCGTGCGCCTCTGGCTCAGACCACGACGCCGCCCCAGCCCGCAGACTCTCGGGCGCACGCAGCTGCGCAGGAAAGGCACCACAGCCACGAAGAAACGGTGGAAAAAGTTCATCAAAGAGTCTACAGCAGGCGCCCGGGAGGAAGCGGGGGATCGTTAATTTATGAACAAAGGGCCACTTGCCGGGCTAGGCTATGTGGGCACAGTAGGGGAGGCGCCCCAGCAGGGGCGGGGACCTTAGAGGGGAGTCTGTGCTGGGCCTGGGACCTTGGGGACCTGCAGGCTGCTGGCTACCTAGAGCAGGGCTGGTCTTATGAAGGGAGAGGCCACGCTGACTCGTTTCTTGGCAACCTCACCCCCTCCTTTCACAGAGCTTTAGAGACAGGTCAGGGTGAGGATGGGGACAGGTCAGAGGTTCCCAGGCTGGGTTCGGAAAGGGAAAAGAGGAACCCCTCCCCCACACACTTTCCATCTTTTGTGTGTAATGTCTGCTCTGTCCTCCCAGGGGGGCCGGGGGCAGCTGCAACTAAGGGTCACTGCCGGCTTGCAGGGGACTGGTCCACGGGGCCACGGGGAGAAATGCCTGGATACTATGAATCCTGTCTCTCCCCTCCATTCTCCCTCCTCCTTCTCCGCGCAGAGCAGAGCGAGGAGGCGCTCAGACTGGGCCCCGACGCCATCTCCCGGCACCTGCCGCCTACAGGGCTGGACCCTCCCCTCGGAGACAGTCTGGGGCGGGACTGGGGCGGGGCTGGGGCGGGGCTGGGGCGGGGCTCGATCCTGAGGGCGGAGCCCGTGATAGTGGGTGGGGACGGAGGTCAACGTCTTCAGCATGAGTGGGTGGGACAATCGAAATTCCAAGGACTGGGACCGTGGAGCTGGCAGGCGGATGGGGGGGGGGGGTGCTTCTG